AATAGAGATTTTAATATGTTGTTGACAGATTATACCAGTAACAGTGGCAAGGTATATAAATCACTCGCACACTTTGGACAGATGATCTATATAAAAACTTCTACAAAAAACATAAAAAGGGGATGAAAGTTAAGGCTTTCCATTTTATTTGCTTACAGAATGGCAGGTATGGAGAATGGTAAATTTATAAGCACGATGCAGTAGCATTCTTCAAATATTTCTATCCTATCCTATGTAAGCTGATCGTAGGATGGGGTATAGAACTACATTAAACAGTAAGCTGTAATCCAATATAAAAATCAGCACTCATAAACAGAAAGCCTCAATTTTGGCACCAAAATTAAGTCTGCATGTGAGTCAGCCAGATCCTCAGATTATAAGTAATCAGTCAATGTAATGACATTACCTGTAAATACATTACTTTGGGGGCAAACAAGAGCATGGCAATGTTCCTTTTGCAATCTAATATAATGACAGCCAAAGTTTTTGTATTACTTTTGGGGGATTAAAAGGTATTTTGTGTGTTTTTTTAAAAAATATTTCAGGCTATTTCCCCCTATTTTTAAGATTAGTGGTTCCCAACCTTTTCAGAGTTGCAACCCCAGTTTTATAATACTCAGCTAACCTGTGACACACACACTGACACATTTGCATAAAAAGGCCTTTATAATGGGGTAAAGTCATCCCTTCTCAGAAAGTAGAGGTGTCTTTATCCCTGCAAAAGGCCTGCTTTTATAAGTACATGCTAACGTTAATCTCCCACTCTGAAAGGTCAAAGGAGAAATTATGAAACAAGGGCTACAATGCATATAAGTGGACTTGCAATAGCCCCCCCAGCCAAAAAAAAAACACTTTGTGACCCCCCCTTGGGGGTCATAATCGACAGGTTGGGAAATGTTGTTTCAAATGGCTATGTCTTTGAAAAGCAACTAGAAGAATAGTATGTAACACTATTCATAAGCAGTAACAAATCTTGTTATTGTTTATGTAGTGGAGATGTGAGGAATTCTTGCCAGTTATTTTGTTTCTTCCATCAGTCTCAGCCGAGACATAATGTTGAGAATTCACTAGTTCGATGAGAGCACTTATCTGCAGCGTGCGAGAGACACTCTCCCCGACTCTGGTTCCCCCTTTATGCCCAATAAGCCGCATCAAAAAATGTAAGCCTTTCTCCTAAGCTCACATATACACAGCAAGCACAAAAGGCCATGTTGATTGCTGACAAACATGCAAGCAACCCATCCAAAGCTTCTAGGTTTTAAAAGTCACCGCAATAACAAGGCATCAGTTCCGGTCATTTTCCAAGCTTATGTGAAAAATCAGTCAGCAAACAGGCAAATTCTACCCAAGGCCAATAAAGTAACAAGGAGATGGGAGTTTTTTATATGCTGGCTTTTTATTGCTTAACAAGACATACACACACACAAAGTTAATGATAAGGAATTTCTTTTTGTGTGTCTTGGGTCATACCCCAATTCCTTTTCAGTGGTACATGTCCAAGCTCTGCCCAGGCTTCAGAGAGGAGATTGCTTAAATAGGACACCAGACAAAGACTCTTGCTTTTGAAATACCTTCTAATAACGGGACGACTGGATCTTAAAGAGCAGCTGGATATTAAAGCAAGTTTCCAAAGTTGCCTTATCATTGTCTGGCCTTTCTCCACTCAACAGAACTTTATTGAAACCACTACTCTGGACACATGAATTTTCAGAAGCCTAACTGCATTAGGTTTAGTTACCGTAAAATGATAAAATGCACTCCTTGGAACCAAGGTTATACCACCTACTTGTGCTTCCAAAAATGTACAAAAAGAATACTCCTGTCACAGCAAAAACTGATCAGGAGAACCGACACAGTTACCTTGCCAGGTTTTATTTAAACTTTGCATTTATTTCATATGCTCAGAGTGATCACAAACAAACACACACACACCTTTCTAGAACATGGTTTATTTTAAAATGGACATTTAAGAAGGAAATTCCAGGTCAGCACCAGGAATTCAGATAGCTACAAATCAGACTTGCACTCCACAAACCTGTAGCACACCGAGACTGGAATCCTATGCAAACTCGTGTGGGGGAAAAAAAAATCACACTGAGCAAAGTGGGACTTAGTTACCTGGAGCCGGGACCATTGCGAGTGACTGGGATCAAACTCGGTTCATG